ATTGGGTTGGCATAATTGGTGATCATTGTATTTTTATTTGTTGGATATAGCCTAGTTCTTGGAGGAATAAGAAACAACCAGTAGGTGCAAGGTCAAGCACAAAAGCTAAATATAGCTATGGCCCATGGAGTTTCAAAAATTTTATGGTTGTGCAATTTGCTAACAAAAATTGGCATTGACTATGAATGCCCGATGAGATTGTACATTTGTACTATGATAACTAGGCAGCTAAAAATATTTCTGACAGTCCTATATAAAATTACTGTACCAAGCATATTGAGGTTGACAAACATTTTATCAGAGAAAACGTTGCAGGTGGTGAAGTTTGTCTCCATTTGTTAAGTCTGAATCTCAGTTAGCAAATTATTTCACCAAAGATGTTCATTGATCCAAGTTGGAGTCAAATTTATGCAAATTGGGCATGTACAACATCTATGCTCAACTTGAGGGGTGTGTTGAGAGTATACTTGTTATTGTAAGGGTATTTAAGGGTTTAAGTGTAATTTATGTACACAATATAAATACTACTTAAGTGAGGCAGACCCAATTTTCTTCTCCATCACATCTTAATCTTAATCGGAATTGCCAAGTATGTAGACAACTTATTTAGTTCCATATAAGTTTGCCATATTAATCCTTCTCCTTATTGTATCTACTCACTCCATAGGCCTTCCTATTAATGTTCCTAAATTTCAAGTAGCCAAGTGAATTTACATTTCTTGAATTAATTTCTTTACCAGCCCTTGTACAAAGGGTGTGGGAACCTTTGCCTATTTCTCATTGCACTTGGGTCAAGATGCATTGCATCAATTCCAGGAATAACCTATCATGCCTCCATGTGGATATTGGGTTCTGCATGTTTTAGTGAGATGCTGAATGAACAAACATGAATTTTGTGCACTTATTCAAAATCTATGATACTGAAGGAACTATGACAAACAGCTTGATCTTTATACAGATCATGAGAATATAAACATGTCAATTCTTGAAGGAAATTAGAGCTTAACAGCTAAAATAAATTGCTTACTTTTGGAAGTTCTTGGCTTACAGCATAAAGGGAGTTTGAGACAAAAGGTTATGGAAAAAGTCAGTCAAAGAGCTTATTTGTTGGTTATTGTGCAAGTAGGTATTAATTTGGGTCAACAAGGACAAAGGTAGAATTAGGTCAGTAATCTATTTCTTTTACCTTGCTTGAACTCATAATGAAGAAGACTGGAATTTCTCTTTTCAATGAATTCATGAACCTCAGAGAATATTTTCCTATCAAAAAGACACCTAGTATAGATCATCCTAATACATTTTTTGTACTAGAATCTATGTTCCTTTTATGATGTTTGTTCTGTTTGCAATTCTAATCTCAACTAATTTTACCATCCCAGTCTCCAATTCGAATTCAGATTTTTGTACAATCTGATAAATAGCTTTCAGATCCATTCCAGAACATTAAGACCCCCAAAGTTTTCCTTTCTAGGTGTTAGGTTGAAGGTTTTCATGTATTGATGGTTCGGCTGATAAGAGTTCTTATTAGCCTGTATTTGAGTTTAAGTTGTTATGTACTGGGCCTGTGTTAATGGGCCTAAGTTTGTTTAGTGTTTTAAGTTGTCTAGGTGTCCCATCACTAATCAGGGGCATTCCAKTCATTTCYTGTAAYATTGTACTGTACTCTAATATAAATAATAGTACTGTCGACTGGGTCATTCAGTTTGACATTCTCAGCATCTCTTGGTCTTCTTCTCTCTTCTACTGCTTCGGCTACAGCATTTCAGCTTTCATGGTATCAGAGCTTTAAGCACCTTCCTGGTTACAGCCGACACCATCTCTTCTCTCTTGCTGTCCTTCTTTTCCTTTTTTATCTGGGTTGCTACTGCGAAACCCTAGGGTTGTAGGAGAACAACACAAGGTTCGAACCTAGGGTTTCCCTTGGTTGTAGGGTGCAAGGGAAGTAAGACCCAGAAGCTGATGTCCTACTAGACTGTTCCTAGTAGTTAGTAGCTATTCGGCTACTAAGAGAGGTCTGTATAGGACAGACCTAGTTGAGGACTGATTTCAGCAGTCCTAGTATTGGTCGTAAGGGGGAGAACTCTCTTCACAGTTGCAGTACTCGAAGCTCAAGTGAAGTCTGCATAGCATAGTGGTGGAGAGCCCTCAGTTTCAGGTCGGTTACCAGCCCAGAACACCTCATTTGCTGCTGTAACTGAACTGCTTCAGAACTGTGACAGTCTCAGCAAGTCTGAAACAGTGTTGCGAGCTGTCAGAACCTTCTTCAATTCTGCAACTAGTCTCTTTTTCAGCACTGTGATCACTTCGGCTAGTCTTAAACAGTGTCATCTACACAGAGGCTGCAATCAAGATGTCTTCAATATCCGGAGAGGTTTCTTCTAGGGATAACAGACCTGCTGCAAGGTCTTCAAATCTGGAAAACCCTAATCTGCACAGCTTGCAGATTACAAGTGTGCTGCTGGATGAATACAACTTCAGGGAGTGGTCCGTTTCTGCAATGTTTTTTATTACTTCCCGTGATCTCACAGGCTACTTAGATGGGAACAAGAAGGAACCTGAGGTTGGTAGTGCAGAGTATGCTGTGTGGCGCAAGGAGAATGCCACGGTTATGTCCTGGTTGCTTGCCTCTATGACTCCTCGGGTTGCCAGGACTGTTCATCACTTTCCTACAGCAACCAAGATTTGGGAAAAGGTGTCTAAGACCTATGGACAGAAGAAAAACAATGCTAGAATCTACAGATTGAATCAAGACATTGCTGCCATAAGGCAAGGGGATATGACAGTTGCAACATACTTTGCAACTCTGGAAGGTTTTTGTGAAAAACTTGACCATCACTTGATATTGGATTGGGAAAATAACAGGGACAAGGAGAGACATGATAAGCAAATTGAAGAGAGCAGAGCCTTTAAGTTCTTAGCTGGCCTGGACCCAGTGTATGAGGGTATAAGGTCACAAATTCTAAGGAGAGATGAATTGCCCAAGTTACACCATGTTTATTATCTAGTGAGGAATGAAGAAGTCAAGAGAAAGGAGATGCAAGTTGACTCTCAGACTCAACCAACTGAACAATTTGGAGAGCATTCAACCCTGGTCTCTACTAAGGGAAACAGACATCTAGACAAGAAGCACCTTAAGTGCACTCATTGTGGTGGTGAGAGACATGTAAAAGAAAAGTGTTGGGTCCTGTATCCTCACCTGAAGCCAGHTGCATTGARAAAGGACAAGAAGCAACAGAAGGGTCATGCGGCAAGTGGGAATCTTGTCACCACCAACAATGGTGACAACTCACAGAATATACCAACAGTGTCTTCTTCTCCTATGAGGCAGGTTGCTGATTCCTCTGGAGCTAGTGCTTTGGGCTTCACTGCTAGTGAGGTAGAGGTCCTTAGCCGGGCATTAGCCCGTCTAAGGAATAATTCTTTTGCTTCCACCTCTCTTGCCAGATCAGGTACAATCTCTGCCTTTAGTGCAACTAGCTATATTGACTCTACTTCTTGGGTTATTGATTCCGGTGCAACTGACCACATGACACATATGTCCTCCTTATTCTCTTCATATCATTTGTTGTCTGGTCAGGATAAGATGAGAGTTGCTAACGGGTCTTTCTCCACCATCTCTGGACCTTCTTGGCAAGCTAAACATGATTGACATCCATGCTTAGCTTGAGGGGGAGTGTTAGGTTGAAGGTTTTCATGTATTGATGGTTCGACTAATAAGAGTTCTTATTAGCCTGTATTTGAGTTTAAGTTGTTATGTATTGGGCCTAAGTTTGTTTAGTGTTTTAAGTTGTATGGGTGTCCCATCACTAATCAGAGGCATTCCAGTCATTTCTTGTAACATTGTATTGTACTCTAATATAAATAATAGTACTGTCGACTGGGTCATTCAGTTCGACATTCTCAGCATCTCTTGGTCTTCTTCTCTCTTCTACTGCTTCGGCTACAGCATTTCAGCTTTCACTAGGCATCCTGGGCAAACTTATAGTTCATTCTAATGTCCTGTCAATCTGAACCCCAAAACAGTCATAAAACCCTGGTTATACTTGAACTTCCCATCACCATGTAAAGTTTATTTAAGCAAAAATTGTATGAAAACTCTAACAAAAAAAAAGGTTTCAAAACCTTCTTTACAGCAATCATCTCACTAAAACCATGGACTAAGATACACAAGTTGCAGCTACAAATAGCAGCAGAGTTTTTCCAAAGAACAACTTTTGGATTGATCAATTTCTTTTCCCTTCTGTTATTGAAAAGGACAACAACTCTATTTCTTGTTTTTCTCAGTAGGCTTTTTATTACCTTTGACTTCCTTCTTGAGATGATGATCCCCTAAAGAAAAAGAGAGGAGAAGAACAAAGAGCACAAAAGGCCACTTAAGTAAATGTAGCAGCTTACTGCTTACCCAGTTGGAAAATGTTGGGAAGTTTATTCTATTAAATGCTGCAGCTGACTCTAATAAGCATACTAGAGACATTTGGCTCTGTTTCTCACCCAAAAGGAAATGTCTCCAAAGTCCATTTCCAAATGATAAGCACAGGCATCATTTAGATAATAACAACACTTAAAGTCAACAGTTTTAACTAAAAGGCCATTAATTACCATATTGTACTTTAGATGTTGAGCTAAATCAAGAAAGTTTCCAAATTTAATTACCACAGAACTCCATATTACATTCCAACAAAGAAAAAGGAAATTCAAATTTTATTAGAAGAACTTTCTAAAACCAATTGTCTGTTTTCTGAAGTTTTCAGCTTGAAGGTTAGGTCCATATCCACTTCATGCAAAAATATCTGAAGGTTAGGTCCAAATCCAGTCCACCCCTCCCAAGACCCGAGATAGCTAAGACCACCATTAGTAGTGGCCCTTTATATATATGACACCATAAGACCAATTTCTCTTTTTTTTTCTGATGGGTAAAATAAAACCAGTTTTTTGTAAATACTAATGTACAGAAGGGGAGAACCCTTATTATCCAAACAGAAATGTTTAGACATGCATACTTGCTTTTACAGTCTGCGCAGTGTCTGTTCTCTGGCAGCTTAAGAAGGCCCTCCAATATCTGCACATAAGAGGATCCAAATATCGAGACATTACTTGGCTTATAATATAACCCATTTTAATAAAAGAGAAACCATTGCAAATTTAGAAATGAAAATAAACAAAAAAGAATGCTGAAGCTACATGAGGCTAATTGCAAGTTTAGCAGTTATCTTTAATTATTGATTGATTTCCCATTTTATGCCACAAGTAGCATTACTTCAGAATAAGGAATCCTAGAGTATGAACAAATTTCTAATGAAGTCCCATCTTTGCACTTTTGTGTCATTCCTGATTTCAAGTGAACAAGATGATGAATAAGATGCGTTTCTCATGCATATTTTATTATCACAACATAGAGCCGCTTATGCTTTTGGCATTTAAGGTATTTCCCTATCTCTTCGTCCCAACTATAGTGCTCTGCGAGCTGCGACAAACCAAACCTCCACCCCACAAAAAACAAAACCAGAAAACACAAAAAGAAAGCTGGTTCTAACACGTTTTTTTTTCTGCTACTTAATTACACTCAAATTAAAAAAAAAAAATGAAATCGAGCACAGACCCAAGGAACATTAGTTGATCAATCAATCAAGCTCTCGGCCCAAAGAAAGAAAAGAGATCAACCAACCAACCAATCTCATTACACCGAATTGAAATGGGTTGAAAATTCTCATCTTTGTTTTCATCTGTCGGAAAAATCATAATAACTATAAAACATCGATCAGAAACTGAGCAGAACACAATAAGATTGAAACTAGCTTTTTTTTTTGTAAAACAATTGAAAATACCTTGGTGTGCTTGGCATTGAGTTCCTTAGTGACGGAGGCCTTCTCGTTCATATTTGCCTTCTTCGTTTCAGATTTCACCGAGGAGGTAATTCGGGAAACAAGGAAAGGCAAACATACAGAGAGAGAGAGAGGAGAAAAAGCAGAAAGGATTTCATTAAAATTAGAAGATTAAATTATTATGGATGACTAACGAAAAACCAACCGACTCGGCTGATCACCTTGCGCAACGAAGGAAAACGGTTAAGATTCCTACCATCCCGCCATTACACTCATTCAGGTGGACGGTGAAATGGCGGAGCGCGCGTTATTCTGCACACCACCATTTTTGACATTTTGAGTTTTGCATGTCATTTTTGACATTTTGACTTTTGCATGTCTTATTTGCACGGGATCCCTTCAAAAGTTAAAAAGTTTATTTAAAAATTTGAAAAAAAAAATCTTAAAATTTTTATTTTATATGAATTTTGATGTAAACAATTGTTTATATATAAGATAATTAAATAAAATAGTATAATAAAATTAAAAATAATTATTTATTTTATTAATATATTATATATTATTATATAAATATATATGGCCATGCCACGAACCCGAAACATCGTGCCATGCCATGCCATGCCAGCACAACCTGCATAATTGTGCCATGCCTAGCATGGCTCGCATGCCATCATGTCGGGCCAGTCCAAAATCATGCCATCTGTGGCTCGGCACGGGATTAAAATTTAGGTTACAGTTTGAAAAATCACTTAAATTACATTCAAGTTGCTTTTACAATTGATAAATCCTCCCTAACGTCGTTGCAATCTATTTACATGTGATTTGTATAATTCTTTTTTTATTTCAAAACTATTTTTTATGGTGATTTTAACAATTTCTCTTTTCTTTTTCATCTCCCCCACCTCTTCAAATGGAAAAACTTTGGCTGATTGGAAGATTTTTCCGCATAGGCGAACTTGCTTGAAAATCTTGACATAAATTCTGCTTTATCTTTATTGGGATTCTTGTTTGATGTTTTATTTTGACTTTTCAGCTTTGATTCCGCTGTACCAATATTTAGACAAACGAAGAGGCCTCCATTTACGCGAAGAGATTTGCCAATGAAGAACATTGGAGAAGAAGACGTTAAGCGACCCTTGATTATCTTGCTCCCTGCAGACAAAAAGTTCAAAAGCTGAACCCTCCACCCGGTCCAAAGGTGGAGGGGTCTTGGGATCAAGCAATTAGAGAGTATGTAAAAGTGGACAAGGGTGGAATTAGGATTGTTTCTTCAAGGGGCAAACATGGATAAATGGTAGAGAAACGAAAAGTTAGGTAACATTTAAAAGGGTATTGTGGGGATTTTCAAAGCATCCCTCCTCTGCCACCCTGAAAAGTGGAGAAGTCCTTAGGATCAACCTTGTGTTTGTAAAGATGACAACTGGAGTGGTTCTCAAGCCACTTGTTAATCATTGACAAAAGAGCTGCAAAAACAATGTAAAATAACTTCACAGATCTCACTAGATAAATGTTGAACTAATGTAGACGAGAAGAAAGAAAAGAATAAACATCAAATAAATCATGTATATCGAATTTCTATCTTTGTTTCTTATCAAAATATTTTTGGGTTTTCTCTCAAAAATGGATGCAGGGTGGGTATTAAAGGGAAAATACCCGTTTGGTCCAATTCTCTTGTTTCCATGCCCAAATAGGTTCGGAGGCCTTCCATTTTTTTTTTCTCAAATTGGGGCAAGGAGAAGTGATAGACAGTGTACACCCTTAGTTCCAATCAGCTTGATGTACATTATGATATTTATTGTAAATTAATAAAATACATATTTGATTCATGTTATATTGGATAGCCGAACCCTAAGGAAAGTTAGGCGAAATTTCAAAAAATTTCTCTCTCCCATCTAGGATTCACATTCCCTATTTTAGAAAATTGCATTTTCAATGATCAATCTTGAAACAAATCGGACCAGATTTGAAACCAAAAGGGAGGAAAGGGATATACCTAATACGGAGTAACAGTAACTCCCAACGAAGGTGTTCATGCCCAAGGAGAAAACCAAAATCTGCTCCCACTGAAGATGACACAGTGTGAGGTGAAGCAGAATCAGCAGGACGGCTCTTTAGCAAGAACCGAATTCTTCAGCAAGAATTTAGTAGAAGGCTTGTGAGCACAACTTCAGATTGCCTCTTCTAGCAAGAAGCAATATCAAGAACGGTTCTTGATCACTCCCACAGGTGGAGATCGAACTAGGTAGGGGCAGCAAAACAGGAAGAAAAGAGCAAAAGACAGGAGTAGTCAAACTATGAATTGTCTTCTCTCTTAATTCACCAGACTGTGAGTGTGTTTTGAGGTCCACCCAGCTCTCCTATTTATAGCCTTAAAAAGAGGTTCTCCTAATACCATTAGGAGTTTCCTAATCCCAATCTTATATTTGGATCTGGACTCTCTTTAAGAGATAAGGATAATCCCTTATCTTATCTGCAGATAAAGATCAGCCTTCCTAATCAAATTAGGAGTTTCCCGATCCAAATCTTTATTTGGATTTGGATTCTTTGAGTGGATAGAGATAATCACTTATCCTAGCACCTGATCCAAATCCCAGAACCACCCCTTATTTAATTAATCTTATTAAGCCAGTTCGAATGGGCTTTAGGCCCATTAAGTCCAATTGCTCACTTAACCTCTTAACCTATTGCCCAGTAGGCTATCCTTGTATGGCGTGGGACCTAAACATTGATCTACACATCAATCATATGGGTTCAGCCAAGCCTTTGTTACAAGGCCTGGCTGAATTCATTGTAGGAGACAGTGAACCCTTGAGTCCATCACCATGGGCTCTTAACGGGCCCAACATTTACACTAAATGGTCATTGGGTCCAACCACCTTATGAAAACCCAAGGACTGCGGGCAGATGCAAGATTAGCCCATCAGGTATTACCCTCAATGGTCTTACACTTAACCTCTCAGTCCATAATGATCAAACACTGCCCGACAAGAGATGACCTCTCCATCGGCTGCAAGGTGCAGTGTTGCATTCTCTACTCAAATGGATCTCGGGAATTAAAACCTTTTGCAAACATTTTGAAACCATAATATATATATACATATATATATATATATATATATATGTATGTATGTATATCTTTATATAAATATATTTTGTAAAACAAATTTCAATGGTTGAAATCAACTGCCGGCAGTTTAGGTTTCCATCAAAGAGAGTGCATCCCCGATCATTTACTTTATCCGACAAAGCGACTGATCCTGTCACTATGATCACCCATTCAGATGAATTCTCGGACTGTCCCAACATACTCAGGTTTTGACCCCCTCTAAGGATCTCACTGATTGGCATATCAAAAACAGCCCAATCCGACACCAAGTGCAGTATCATAATCAAGTCTAGGGGTTAGGTGTAATATTCTAGTTTTGCCCATCTATCTCCAAGGTACAGGGCAATACTGGAATTTTGGTCTGGTTTAGGGTTTCAAGAAAACCCACACAACATGTACCTTAGGTCTCACCATGGTAGATGAGACAAGCCACCCCAACCAACTTGGCAGTACATCAGTGTCAACCTTAGTAGGATAAATCTCCCCAGATCTATGCAACGACTATGAAGATTCTAAACTAACATGAGTCTCATAAGTGTCCAATTTAAGGGTATTACACAGAAAATCACCACAATGACATGAATCAATTATGTACTTTATTCATTTACAATAAATGTCAAAAAGGTACATCAATCTGATTGGAGCTAAAGGGCATAACTGTCTAACACTTAGCTCCAATCAGCTTGATGTACATTATGACATTTATTGTAAATGAATAAAGTACACTTAGCTCCAATCAGTTTCTGTACAATACTCTTAAACTGGACACTTATGAGACTCGTGTTAGTTTATAATCTTCACAGCCATTGGATAGATCTGGAGAGATTTATCCTGCTAAGGCTAACACTGATATGCCGCTAAGTGGGTTGGGGTGGCTTGTCTTAGGATGAGACCTGAGGTACATGCAGTGTGGGTTTTCTTAAAACCCTGAACAGCACCAAATTCCAGTATTGCCCTGGACTTTGGAGACAGATGGGCAAAATTAGAATGTTACGCCTGACCCCTAGACTCGATTATGGTACTGCACTAGGTGTTGGATTGGGTTGTCTTTGATATGCCAATCAATGAGATACTTAGAGGGGGTCAAAACCTAGGTATGTTGGGGTAGTCCAAGAATTCACCTGAGTGGGTGATCATAGTAATAGGATCAGCCCCTTTGTTGGACAAAGTGAATGATCGAGGAATGCACTCTCTCTGRTGGAAACCTAAAYTGYCRGWAKTTKATTTCAAACTTGTTGAAATTTGTTTTGCAAAATATATTTAAATAAAGATCTACATATATATTATGGTTTCACAAAATGTTTGCAAAAGGTTTTAATTCCCGGGATCCATGTGAGTAGAATGTGCAACACTGTACCTTGCAACCGAGAGAGAGGTCATCTCTTGTCAAGCAGTGTTTGATCATTATGGGCTGAGAGGTTAAGTGTAAAACCATTTAGGGATAATAAACATGATGGGCTAATCTCACATCCACCCACAATCCTTGGGCCTTCATAAGATGGTTGGACCCAAGGACCAATTAGTGTAAATGTTGGGCCCATTAAGAGCCCATACTGATGGACTCAAGGGTTCATTGTACTCAATAGTGAATTCGGACAGGCCTTGTAATAGAGGCTAGGCTGAACCCATGTGGCTTATGTGGAGATCAATGATAGGGTCCCATGCCATACAAAGAGAGCCAAGCTAGCCAGTATTAAAGGAAGTGAGCCTGAAAGCCTAATGGGCCTAAAGCCCATTTCGAATTGGGTTAATTGGATTAATTAAATAGGGGCAAATCTGGGTATGAATCATCAGAAGGATAAGAGGATAACTCTTATCCACTTAAAGAGTCCATATCCAAATGAAGATTTGGATTAGGGGAAGTTGATCCTGATCTGCAGATAAAATAAGGGATAAGCCTTATCGCTTAAAGAGTCCATATCCAAATAAAGATTTGGATCAAGAAACTCCTAATCAGATTAGGAGATTAACTCTTTAAGGTCTAAATAAAAGAGGAGGGCGAACTAGAAAAACACTCACAGTTCTACTGCTTTCTGATTCTAGTTCTCTCTCTCTCTCTCTGCTCTTGCCGCCCTACCCTGTTCAATCTCCACCTCTTGGAGTGATCAAGATTGGATCTTGATATTGTTTTTTGGTGGAAGAAACAATCTTGAAGCTGTGCTCACATCCCTAAACATTTTTTGCTGAAGAATTGGGGTTCTTGCTGATCCTGCCTCACCCTAAGCTGTA